TAAGTGTTGAATCAAGCTTTATTAAAACGAATAACAGTAAAAAAAACGCAATGTAGTATTTCCCCGATCGAAGGAGCCAATCCATGTTATGAAGTTTACCTTATGTTTGGCATATTGAGATAAACTGCTTGCAAGATTCATGCAGATAATGGGAAGAAAGATTTTATTCAACGGCATATTAGAGATAAACGATTTGGTGGAATTACTCTTTATTCAAACGTGCGGTTTTAATTTGATAAATACTTTTGCCGCGAAACGTCCTCGTCTCCATGATTAAGAAACATACGCTTGCTAAGCATTCCCATTTTATCAATCTGAGATTCACGAACTTCATTTATATCTCTAACGATGAATGTCGGACACGTATTAAAAAAAAAAAAACAAAAAAAAGAAAAAAAAACTAATTATTTAGCGGATTTTGCACGGGATAATCGAAAATACAAAAATATCTACGATCGTTTAATGCACTCGAATGAACTTCGGACGTGAATCGGTGTTCGTTTGTGTACTTAATAGTAGTCGACGGTAGATGACACATATAGGTAGCGTCTTTAAAAAAGAAAAAACAAAAAGGGTGGGAAAATAAAGTGGGGCTGAGTTTAATGTATTTTTTTGTTGTCTCTATTGCCGATTTACAATGCAGTGCGCAAAGAACAGATGTTAGACGAAAAGTATTGTACGATCGTTGTATTATTCATATATAGTGTTATAATAGAAGAAGAACAATGCCGATAAGGAAAAAAGGAAAGAGAATAATTAGGGAAGTGCGAGTGAGAGAGGCAGAAAGAAATTAAGAAAGAAAGAAAAAAGTATGGGAGGGTAGAAAAAAAAAAAACTATTTTCCGCGTATATATCGGAATAACAGAAAAACAAATGAAGCTACTTCGTGCACTTTGATCGTATGGATTTGAAATAATATCGTGATCCCGTTACAGTGAAAAATGCCGTAAAACCGTGTATATTGGACATTATGGATATATCGCAAGGTTATGAGCAAATCTGCGCAAAAAAAATAGTAAAAAGCAATTGTTTATATATACCGCACAGATCGCGTCATGACCTCGCCTTGCTCTGAAAGAGAGTGTTCTAACGCGTTAGGTATGTAATGTACGGTATCTTTTTGTGAAGTGCGGGAAGCACGATAATATTATCGATATTTCTCGGCTTGGAAGTGTTCTACCGAAACAAGTGGAAAACACGCTATATCGCAGCATACAAGTCGTGAAAAAAAGAATTGTATATTCTCTGCTTTTGTTGCAATTTAAGCATTATTATAAAAATGAAGCAAATAAAATAAACAGTAGTGTTTACAGGACTTTGTCGTTTTGCCAGTTTATTAATGCGAAGGTAGCATAGCTCTCGCTCTGATGTCGCGTGTCTCGGTGAGCCAAAAAAAAAAAGAAAAGAAAAGGAAAAAAAATCGATCGTTACCAATGAGGTAAAATCGACGATCAAAAACACAACATACTGCCAGTCGTACCGACGACCATTATATCCTTAAACTTTGGGGATTTTTCATGTTCTATTCGTAAGGATATTAAAGAATACAAAGTGAAGTGTATAATCGAGGAAACCGATGAACTGCTAATGCACGAAAGGAGTCGTCGCAACAATTACATCTTAATGCGTCTATGCAATGCTGATCCAAGAGATCAGTTGTTATGTCATATGATTACTTTTCATCTTAAAAACACATCTTACTCTTACAAATTTATGCAATTCTCAAATTAACAACAAAAATATGATAAAATACAAACACAAATGCAAGAACGAATGGCACGCTGCTAGGAAAGAAATGAGGATAACAGTGCCTTTGATGCACTGCCGCACAAAATAATCCTTGCTAACGTGTCTCACCAAATGATTCGAATTATATCATGCAAGCGAGATATTTTAGAATCTTCGGCATTAAACACGAATGATAAAGGCTCCATTCTCATACACCGTACGCGTTGATATTATAATTTTACTCGTATTACAAACATTACCGATAAACTACTAATTACATTATCACTTATAACTTTGTCATATTTTTATTATCTTGATCTTCGATATTTTTCTTAACCATTGACACATTCAATCTTACATTCTTTATTTCCGTCTGTTTGATCTACCAATTTTTGGTTCCTACTATCTTCATCTTCATCTCCATGAATATCATTATCATCGATATCATCATAGTCACCATCATCGCTGTCACCATTATGTCATCATTATTTCATCATCATTATCATTATTATGTAATCATAATAATCGTACGTGTATGCTGAGTAAACGATAAAAATGAGATATAAAATGAAAAGTAAGATAAATAAAAACTGTTAAATCGATTGATTATGACTTAGGATATTTGAACAAAAATTCTTTGAGAGAAAGTCTAAAGTCTATTTAATCTTACCTATTATTGCTTACATGGCAATTACTTTTCTTTTGTTTTTATTTTTTTTTATTTTATTTTTCTTTCTCTTTCTTCCTTATTAATTTTGTCCTGGGCATATCATGGGTCTTTTGAAAGATCTGTTTATATTTATATATATATGTTTATGTATATATATATAAATTATATAAAAGCGAAATAATTTTATGTTACGATAAATGCACTTAGCGACAACTGAATTTAACAAAAAAAAAAGAAGAAATTATTGGACATACTGCGTCATCCTATCGATAAAATTTACATTAAACGCGTGTAAAAATAAAATTTAAATGTGTACACAAGATAATCTGTTACAAGTTTGTCAACATTCTTATTTGATTTATTGACATTTTACTACCAAATGACTTCATTTTGAAAGACTGAAACTTTTATACGTTTAATCATCCTCCTCCCTTCCAACAATTATTCAAAAGCACTACTACTTTCTTCGTATTAATGTTGCCTGCTAAAACGATTAAAACACCGTTAATGACTGTTGCCTTGTAACATTTGCGTAAGCTTTATACGTGAGAGAACGAGATGAACCCTTGAAAAAACCCCAGGGCGCCTATAACTTTATATATCTACCCGTAGTTAGTAATATGACATCATTAACTTATACGTTTACGTGTTAAATTATGTGAATAAACTAATGAATGGTAAAGGGTTTGTATTATTAATATATATATATATATATATTCTATATATATAAATATATATTAGTATTATATATATAATAATAAATAGAAATCCCCCACAGCAAATTGTAGGAGAGAAAGAAAGAGGAATGGATTAAAAATAAAAATGTATAAAACGCAATTCTCGTGTGAATGCATTCGCAAAAGTTAATGAAAATAATTATTAATCACAATATTATATATAAAAAAAAAAAAGAAGAAAGAAAACAAATAGGAACGAGGGTGCACCGTATTCGTTTTTTAAAAGAATTTTTATTTTATTGCATTGCTGTTTTGGCCCAAGAGATTGTCATTTTATCATTTACGTTTTTTATCAACTGACCATGAAATTATTTACTATAATATATACTACGTACGGTACGCCAAGTTAACTAATAAAATAACATGTATCCTTGTGTTGTTTTTGAATTTTATAATTAATAAAATGAAAACGCGTATTTTAATAATTATTAACTAAGTGAAAAAAAAGCATTTTTAAAATACGAGTATTATAATTAATTTATTTTGTTGTTTATTGGAGATAAAATAATTTTTCGTGTATATCAAATATATAATACTTTAGAATCTTAATCTGTACAGCAAAAATTACAATCACGTGGATAAAAGTCTCTCTGATAAAGTCATGATAAAGTACGTAATTATCGCGCTGCAATTAAGCACGATCATATTATTTAAATAATTATATGTAAAATCAAAATTTGTATGATTCTCAAGCTACTGCTCAAAATTATTTTGATCATATTATACTCCCTATAGATCTAGTAGAAAGTCATAAAAGTGTTAATTAGGGCAAAATTTGTAACGATGTTTCAGATCAACGTTGTAAAATTGAAATATTATCTGTTTAATGATAAAACGAATTTAAAAATCTGTTATATATACTGCTACATCGAGTATCCTTGAAATGTGGTAATAAACATACATTTGATATAAATTTTTTACAATATGCATGTAAACATTTAGTAGTATCACAAAGATATACAATTGAAAAAAGTTGGTAAATATCAGACTGCAAATTAATCATTTAATTAGAATGGTTTTAAACTTTAACCTCTACTCTTTACTGTATTATATTCGTCCAGTATGTCTGATTAATAAGATATTTCAATTAAAATAATTCATTATGTATTTAATTTATCAAATATTATTGTATTTTATATTATATACTCTAAATATGTAAATCTCTCTGCAAAATTAGATTCTTTTTTTTAATTATCACAATAGCATTTTATATGATTTAAATAATATTTTAATTCTATAAAAGATATTAATAAGTTAAATAATACGATATAATAAAAAAAAATTAAATGTTTTATGTTATTTTATAATATTTCATAGATATAATTAATTACTGTTATATACATGTTTTTTCAAAATTTTTCGGACCTAGTGAATATCCATATTCCATTGTTTTGATTGGTGGCTTTATCAGAGTCCAGTTCCATTGCCAGGCAAAATTACTAGACGAAATAAAATGATAAACATCTCAAAATTATAAAAAAATCATCAAAATAGTAAGTAACTTTTTAAAACATTATATTTTTTAAACTTTTTTTTTTAATTTTATATATATATATATATATTTGTTCAATTTTTATCCTTTTAAAATTAAGAATCTATTCACGATTTTAATCATATGGCATATAGGGTTTTTTTTCAAGTGAAGTAGTCTCTTTGATATGATAAAATAATCTTATTTTCTAAATTGCATGCATGAATACAGTTTCATGTTAAAACCATTCATTATTAAATATTGTTCCCTTTTTGTATAAGTTATAATATATTTTCTAATATCATGTAATCTTGTGAAAGATCTATGAATTGTTTGCGTACAATATTTGATTTGTGTAAGATCGTATGCGCACAAGTTTCTGCGCAAATGCTACTTATACTAACTTGTATTTACGTTTATATTATATGAGAATGCATTAAGTTCATGTCTGCATGCAATGTATATACGCAATGCGAACAGAATTAGCTGCTGGAAACATTGTTTTTGTTAAATTTCATGATAAGTTCATAAAATAATGAGTATATCGACCTCGACAAATGTAAACCATAGTGGACATTCACATAGTGGAGAAGCTTTCTTAAATATCCCAGTTGAATCCTCAAATTTAGATGCATTAGCAACAAAACGGAGAAGGTATTTATATATATATATAAATTGATTGTTTATATCTCGTGGCATGATGTTAATTAAATTTTTTAAATATCATGTATACAAAGAAATGAGAATTTGATAAAAACTGCTTTTATATAGTTTTCTCTTTACTGAAACTAACCAACAATTATACTTTTTAGAAAGACTTAATTCTTTAAATATGAAATATTAATTACAATCTAAGTTAGATTTAATATTATTAATTACTTGTGTCTACATTTCTTTCTTTCTATACTTTATTAATGATTGAATCTTTAATTCCTATTAGTTCATCGCGTACAATAAAACGCAGAAAATTTGATGATGAATTGGTTGAAACAACATTTAATCTACAACCTTCTACTACAAGCACAAAATCAGCATCAAGGACACGGACTTTGTCGGTATCTGCTAGTCCACAGGATGTCTTGCCATCGCAAATTCTTGCAAGTCCTATGCAAATGCCACCAAACGTGACACAAAATGATAGATGTAACCGTAGACCTCCTAGGCCAAGTGGTTCAAATGGATCTGGTAGAAAAAGTAAGAAAAATAAAAGCCATTCACATTCGGTGAATGCTACAAAAGATCTTGGCCGATGGAAACCTACTGACGATTTAGCTTTAATAACCGGTGTACAACAAACAAATGATCTACGTATGGTAAACTATTGAATTTATATATAACTTTTTATCTCTTTTCTATTTTTAAAATTAATAAAAACATTATAATAAATATTGTTCACACAACATAATTAGAAATGAATATTTGTCAGGTACATCGTGGTACAAAATTTTCATGTCGATTTACGCTTCAAGAAATTCAACAAAGATGGTATGCTTTATTATATGATAGTGCAGTTTCTCGTGTAGCTGTTCAAGCTATGAGGAATTTACATCCTGAATTAATAGCTAGTGTGCAAGCAAGAACTTTATATAGTAAAGCTGAAGAAGATCTTCTTGGTACTGTAAAATCAGTAAGTATATAATCGAGAAATAGATGATAACCATTCTCTATGGAAAATTTTACCAAGTCTCTCGGTAAAATTTGTGTAATACATGTTTTATATTAACTCAGACTTCTCAGCCAACACTAGAGGTTTTTCAAGAACTTCTTGAAGCAAATGCACATACATTTTATCCACATAGAACAGCTAAGGCGTTACTTGCTCACTGGCAAGTGATGAAACAGTATCATTTATTGCCAGATCAAACAGTTCAAAGTTTACCTAAAGGTGAACATGTATTAAGTTTTTCCGATGCTGAAGATATGATTGTTGATGCAGAATTAATGGAACAGAAAGATGAAGCAGTAGATGTTGAACTTGTAACATTGGATAGGAAGAATAAAAGAGAAATTAGAATGCTAGAGAATGAAATTGGAAGATGGCATGTTCTTGTTGACAGTGTAACAGGTGTTAATCCACCAGATTTTGACAATCAAACATTGGCAATACTCAGAGGTCGACTTGTCAGATATCTTATGAGATCTCGAGAGGTGATAATATATATATATAAGATATTCCAAAATTTTCGAAACGGTAAAATGTCTAAAAAAAAAGATTTTTTTAAAAAAAGATGCAAAGAAAAGTTGTATTTATGTGTTTAAAGATCTATCAAACTTATTTAAATATACGCGTTTGATCTTGGTTAAAGGGTTCAAAAAATCATATCAAGATCAAAATAATTTTCTTAATCGAAACATCACATTTTGTATTATATATTGTTTAAGCTGATGCTTCCAAAACATTACTTTATAACATTTTTATAATAAGAATTTGGTGAGATTTTGCCGTTCCGAGATTTTTGAAACACCCTGTATATTATATGTTAATTTGTCTAAATATATAATGATTTATACAATTTGATTTTTCAAGATAACTGTGGGAAGATCTACGAAGGACCATAATGTCGATGTAGATTTGAGTTTAGAAGGACCAGCATGGAAAGTATCTCGTAGACAAGGTACAATTCGTTTACGAAATAATGGTGATTTCTTTTTATCTTCTGAAGGAAAGAGACCAATTTTTGTGGATAGTAGACCGATTCTTGCTGGAAATAAAATAAAATTGAACAATAACAGTGTAATAGAGGTAATCGCTAACTGTTTTTAAATCATATGCAGAGTTATAAATTATTGCATATTATAATCTATATCAAAATAAATACTATTATTATTATATTATTTTACTATTAATTACTTTTATAAGTATATAGTAAGTTTCAGTGTTTGTTATTACATATTACAGATAGCAGGGCTGAGATTCATATTTTTAATAAATCAAGAACTGATTTCTGTAATACGCCAGGAGGCTGTTAAACTAAATTTAAATCCTTAAATTACATATAATGTGTGTGACCAAGAATATTGCATTCAATACTCCCACAATTATCTTTAACATTGAAATATTCGTATAATGTATTGTTTTTAGTACAAATTTATAATTATGATTACATTCTCTATGTTAGAATAAAATATAAGTTGTCAGTGTGCGAAAAAACTTACGTAGTATACAATCAGTAAAGTAACGATATTTCATTTTTGACCGTTGAATTGTATATTTAACAAACCGTGCCAATGTATGGACAATTGTATATTTTTTTTGGTTTTTCATCATTTATTAGAAATACCTACAGTGTAACTTGTACAAAAGCAGTCATATAGCAGTCGTAGTATATAATGTTAGTGCTTTTTGTAATAAAGGGCACAAAAAGATTTTTCATTCCTTTCTGCTCCCTATTAATAATTAGAGATTTGTTGATATAAGTTTTATAAGTTTATAATACATTGATGAACTGTCAAAAAAAAAGGCCACAAAATTGTTTTATCGCGGTTCTTAAAATACATCGCTAACAATAAAAATAAAATTATATGAATAATAAGAATTTTTCGTATCATTTAATTAGGATATATAAGATCTAAAATAGTAAAAAAGAGAGCCTCGTTGCTTAACAATTATTTGTTTATATGTTCTAATTGAAAAACTACTTTTTCTACTTACAAGATTGTAACAAAAATGGGAGATATAATCAAGTATAAAATATTTTTTTATTAAAATAAATTTTTAATAACATTTTCATAAAATATTTATTTTTGTGATGCAAAGAAAAATATATTATTTGAATAAAAAAAATTAGTAAACGTTTACTATGTAAGGAACAAAAAAAAGTGAAAGTAAAAATTTATATGTCGTTAGTTTAGCTCAAGGTTATTTGATATAGTCTACTCATATACAGTAATCTTACTCCTACAATGCCACAATATCTGGTGATAAATAGATTCGAAAATCAGTTTCAATCAGTTTCAATTCTCCGATATCTTTTGTAAGTGAAGCCTAAAAAGATATCGTGGTAAAGATAACAAACAGTAATTCGTTAATCATGGGTTTGAAACATTGTAAAGAATTTTCCTCTGCAGATGATTATGAAACCGAAAGATATAAATCTACTGAGAAAGGTGTGGCAATATACTTTAAAATTATTTTATTCGTATATTTTAATAAATAAGAGAGAATAGTATTAAAAAATTGATCATTTCGCATAAGTTGTGTATAATTTCAATCACTTTCTAATAATAATTTACATATATAAACAAATATATATATATATATATTTATAATAGATACGTGCAAATCATCGGAATAATTAAAATTATGTGTTATCTTTTTATTTATTTCTTTAAAAGTTATATTTATAATCTTGTTTTTTAATAATATATTAAAATAATCAATTAATCTATACACGGCTGTAATCGGCTATGATTATCAAAAGAATATTGATTTAGATTTTAATTTTTAACCATATGTACAATATTGTCAATTTAATATATAATTGTTATAGTTAATCGGAATATTTCTAGGTACACATTCGATATTAATTGAAATTTATTTAAAAATTCTTATCTTCGATGAAATAATGCGTAATTTGTAAAATACACATACGGGAATTCCGATAACTTGTTGCTTGTAACCGGAAATACCAAATTATTTTATAGATGGTATGAATCATCTACTTCGTTCTATTACCAAAAAAAGAAACAATTGAATGACTATTTAAGTTTACGATGAATTCAAGAATTATTCTTCCTTTGTTTAATCATATACGTTGTAATTTATCCAAAAATCTGCGGTAATTAATAATAATATAAGGTTCAATTGTTAGGTTATTGCGTCATTTCTGTCATGTTTTGTGCACCTATCAAAATTTTTCCGCCAAAAAGATGAGTATATATTTACATTCAAAATTGACATTAGGCGAATTGAACAAATATTTTTTTATTCTTTAAATTAAGACAATTCACAGAAGATAATGTTTAGTATGTTGTTATACGTAACAACATTGGTATACCAAATTTAATTTTATTCAAATATTAAGACAGAAGTTATACAATAATTTAAAACATAGCTAATATAATTTTCTTAATCATTCTCTCATTTGTTGTTTTTTTAAATTTTATTATTGTAATTAACCTATAGTTGACAATGTTATATTGATTACATGAAAAATTAATATTTCACCTATGGGAATCTCTTCGTACTAATAATACTAACATTACTTTTGACAATCAGCTGTTTTATGTCAATGTCATATAATTTCGAATAGGTTTCAAATACATGAAAAAGAAAAATTCTTTAATATCGTATTATACGAAATAATAGAATATTTCTAATTTATAAATCGATGGATTTTTTTCTTTGACTCCTAATATTTTCGAAGCTTTTTGTGTACGTTTTATAAATATCAATATTTCCTTTATTTTATTGAAGTTGCTTAACATATCCCGAGTTTGTAATGTCAACAAATGGGGAGGATAAGAGAAAAATTCATATCTGTAATCAATGCAATAAAGAACAAGATGTTAGTAAAACACATAATAGAGGATCATGCTGTTGTTCTTGTAAGTTTGTTACAATATATATTCTAACATAGATTATAAGTAATCATAATAATAATAATAATATTGATTTTAAAGTGTTTTATTCCCTCTCTTTACTTTTCTTTTTTATATTTTTATGCGCTATATATTTCATGTCGTATAACTATATATAAAATAGAAGTTCATTTTTAGGCATACCACAAAAACATGATTACATAGAAGATATAGTATGCAAAGAAAATGATATTAATGAAAATGAAATGAAAGTGGTGACTCTTGGGAAGAACGAAGCTAAAGTATTATTAGTAAAACAAAAAGGAGAAATACATGCAGTTGGAACAAAATGTACCCATTATGGAGCTCCGTTGCATACTGGTGCATTAGGAGATGGCAAAGTAAGATGTCCATGGCACGGAGCATGTTTCAATATCAAAACAGGTGATATAGAAGATTATCCAGGATTAGATTCCTTGCCATGTTATAAGGTGACTACACAATTTGTTAATATCTTATAAGAAATATTATTACCTTGAAAAGTAGAAAATTTAATGCATTTTCTTTTTACGCATAATGCATTATATATATATAGGTAACTGTAGATGAAGCAGGACTTGTACATGTCAAAGCAAAAGTTAAGGATCTAGAAATTAATAAACGGGTTAAAGATATGTGTGAATATGATGTTAAAAATCCAAAGACTACTTTGATTATTGGTGGAGGTCCATCGGCTGCTACATGTGCTGAAAGCTTACGTCAAGAAGGCTTTACAGGAAAAATCATTTTAATCTGCAAAGAAAATACATTGCCTTATGATAGAGTGAAAGTATCTAAAGTATTGAATTTTGACGTGAACAAATTTTCTTTAAGACAGCAAAGTTTTTACAATGAACATAATATTGAAACTAAACTAGGTCGAGAAGCTATAGGTGAAATAATAATTGATATTAAGATAAATTATACAATAATCACAAATTATATATGCATATATATATATATATATATATATATATCTTATTATTTATATCTTTTTTATTATTGCAGCATTGGATACGAATCAAAATATTGTTACGCTTGACAATTCTGAAACATTAAAATATGATTATTTATACCTTTGCACTGGTAGCAAAGCAAGAGTACCTGATTTACCCGGAGTTAATTTTGAAAATATTTTTGTGTTACGCAATTACACTGATTCACATGCTGTACATAAATTATTACATCCTGATAAACATATAGTTATATATGGCCTAGGTTTTATTGGCATGGAAGCAGCTTCTTATTGTATAGATAAGTGTGCATCTGTTACTGTTATAGGACGAGGCAATGTACCTTTACGTGATGTTTTTGGTACAGAAATTGGTAATAGAGTTCGAGAAGAATTTGAAACAAAAGGTATTTCAGTAAAGGTTTCTACAATTTTATAATTTGAAACATGTCATTTTGTGTTCAAAACAATATAGCTGATTCGTTTTTTTTTTAAGGTATTAAATTTATATTTAATAATAATATATCGAAGTTTATTCCCAAAGAAGGAACTGATAATACATTAGGCAAAGTGGAATTATCTGATGGTAATATTCTTGAAGCAGATATATGTATTATTGGAATAGGCTCTACATTTTATACGGATTGGTTAAAAACATCAATGATTAAAATGTTGGACAATGGTGGTATTATCGTAGATAAGGTATCACCTTTATATTGAATATTATTTTTTATTATTTTATTCACGTTCGTTTTATCAGCAAGATAGTTCCTTAATCATTACTTTTATTAATTGTAGTATTTGAAAACAAATATAGAAAATGTATTTGCTGGTGGTGATATAGCTTATGCTCCAGTATTAGGCTCTGATAATATTTCTGCTACTATCGGTCATTATGGTTTAGCTCATTATCATGGTAAAATAGCAGCTTTAAATATTTGTAACAAAGAAAAAGCTTTATATAGTGTCCCATTTTTTTGGACTGTTTTATTCGGAAAGAGTTATCGATATGCAGGTAAAAATTTTATTTTTATGTATTAATTTAAAATTTTATGATTATATTATACATAATATAATATATACTTTAATAAATCCAAAATAATAATATTTTTAGGATATGGACAGTCGGATAAAGTGATTATTTATGGTTCTTTAGAAAACTTGCAATATTTTGCTTATTATGTAAAAAATGATAAAGTAATAGCAATGAGTAGTGTTGGAGCAGATCCAATTGTTGCAGATTTTGCTAATTTGTTGGCAGAGAAACAAACCTTAACGGAAGATGATATTAAAAACAATCCTTTTGGATGGATGCGTACTAAGCCTAAAGATGTAGAAACTAAATTTCAACTATTACATATTTAATAAAAATAATTCCCTCGCTCTTATATCTCCTTTTCCTGTCATAAAATGATTATATTGTACTTAACAAAATGTAAAAAGATGTTTAAAATATTACAGTTAATTTCTATTAGAATAATAACAATTTTTAGTAATAATTTTAAGAAATAATTACAAAATGTATAATTTTGTTATATATAATTTCTACAAATGGATGCATTTATGAACATATACAGTATTGTTTGATAGTATTGTACCGTTATCGCTTTAAGTACCAACTTTCGCCCACTTTTGGTCAGGGTACTATCTAAAATGATTTTGGTTACGGGAAAAGTGAACTTGCGAGCTTCCATGTACTTCTGTATTCTTTGCCAGATGCTTTCAGGTGTTTTTAATGTTACTGATGAATTTCGACGTGTGGTCATTGTGGCGTTATTAATCTAATGGAAATAACAATTTGAAAAAGCATAACGTTTTTTTTATATAATGTGTTGTGTAGCTATTGCCACAGTGATCGTTGTTACGGTATGTTTGTTTACAGTTCGAAGCGGTAACTTGAAGGAGAAATATTATAGAGAAAAGAAACTAGAACTTTCTTTGTAAAACTTCGAGCGTTTAATTATTATACCATTTCGAATATAAAATTAGCGATGTCTACATTTAAGGTAAATTAATATTATCATTAATTTATTTTTACATTAAATTATCGAAGTTTTTTTACTTCATTCTTATATTGATATCATCTTGTTGGAGGGTCTAAGAAAAACTTTTAAATAAATTACAAAATTAATTACTAACTGTTATTAATATTTCACTTTTTTGTGCATTATTTTAGTCAAGTGATTCTAAAAGAGAAGAGTACAGAAAATATTTGGAAAGAGCAGGCGTTATGGATGCTCTTACTAAAGTACTTGTATCGCTTTACGAAGAAACAGAAAAACCAAATGATGCATTAGAGTATCCTTAATATTATTGATTTAATATATAACAGAAAATTTAAAAAGTATAATGTGTGTTTAAATAATTTAATAAGATTTTTCTTTAACAAAATTTATAAGATATATACGTAAGAATCTTGGAGACATAACCGAAAACAATTTAGAAATTAATACGTTAAAAAAAGAATTAGATGATGCTAAAGCAAAAATTACTGAGTTGCAAGAAAAATTAGTAAAATATGAACAAAATGAAGCGAACAATTAAATCTTAATTTTCATATGACTACTATTTTATTAATAAAATAATAATGGATAGCAAAGGTTAACTAAGTGCTGACAAAGTAGTACTACTTCTATCTTTGTAAGCGTATTCTTAATATTTTGAATGTTTAAATGTATAAAAAAAAAAATAAAATTCAGGAAATAATTCTTTTAAAGCATCTAATTATAACAACAAAGTCCTTGTTTAATACTTTAATTCAATCTAAATTGATGACAATTATACTTTATATTTGGAAAATGTAACAAAATAAATGCTATCATATAAATAGTATTTATACATATATAATTATCATAATTAAATTAAATTTAAATTTAAATAAATATTTTCGATACTAAAAATAATATTATAGTATTACTATCTCTTTTGTCAGCATAATATCTATGATCTCATGTATATTGTTACAATTGCATTCTTTAGCAAAGTATTATTACAACAATAATATTTATGTAATAATAACCATACATACATATATTCTCAGGTCTATTTGTATTTTCATAAATAAATAACAATTACAAAAATAGCCTTGCATAATATTACCTTTAAGTATGTTCTAGCTTATTGTATCGCAAAAATAAAAACTGATTTATATTTTTTATAATTAATGTATTTTATTGATGATATAAACTGATTTAAAATATAAGCAAAGATATTATAAGTCAAATTTGTAGATTTCATCAGAAGTTGTGTACAGGAGTAATTATTAGAAAATAATATTTCATGAGATCTTGAGTGCTTGTCTACGCTTAACGTCCCAGTTGTAAATCCTTGTCATATTAACATGCATAGTGGTAAATTGATCTCTGACAAAATCTAAATCATGTTCGACATATCCTAAATTTTTCTTAGCTGCTTCAATATTTTTAGACAACATTTCTTGAGCATCATCAAGCGTATATTCCAACATTACATTTGCCCCAAGCCAAAGACAAACTTTACCCGTAGGAGGAATAGTAGCCTTAGCATAAACCTGTTCCGATAAAAGAAATTGAGTTTCTAAATCATGACTATTATCTTTTTCGGTTTGTAATTTTTCGATCATTTCTAATGATCTTTCCAGATCTGGTATCTGTGCTTTCAATCGTCTTCTTTTATTAACCAAATTATATTCCATGAATTTATATTTCATATGATTTTCTTCAAGTTTTTTGAGAACTTTATCCACAGATTCATTCTCTGGTCTTGCCATAAATGCATCCACATCTTCCTAAAATTAAAAACAGAATCGACCTTTACAATTGATTCTTCGATATATTTTGATAATAAAAATAATACGATTTGCAAGAACTATATGCATGTATCGTTTGACATAACGCCATATAGATCTTTTCTATATAAGGAATCGTTCGAAAGTGATATTCAGACAGTGACCGCAAATTGTGATATTTAATTAAGTATAAATTTAAAATCAAATTTATGAAAGGGAAAGGGATGACAAATATACTTACTACAAAATCTGCTTCTGGAATACCAGCATAAGATTTTTTTTGTAATTCAATCTCAATATCTAATTTATTCTTACTTTCCTCCATGTTTACTTGGTTATGTGACTATGAAATAGAATTATATCGAACATACAGAATCGATACATTTCCTTTTTCCTTGGAACGTCAATGCACAATCGAAACTTTTTTATCGATATATCGATGTTTAGAATTTAGAAATGCATAAGGGGATTAATTTTATACTTATTTTTTAACAATTCAAAAAATTGAAAGATAAAATAGTTTTGTTATTTCTTTCAAAAATAAGAATATCACATCTTATTATAGATATAAATGGATAATAGAATAAAAATATTCATTTTTATCTTTGAGAATAAAGGTATTTATTACATTAATAAATTTAGTGTCACATCTTTTAATTTCGAAAATATATTCACGAATATATTTATTTATTTTATGAACATTTAATTTTTAATAGACAATTATTTGTTCTTATTATCTATAATGTATTTTACATCTTACATCAAGAATGTTAACCAATTATATAAATGAATGGATAAAATTTTAACAAGATCTATCAAAGATAATAAGCAAATTAATTTCTTATTAACTGTTGAAATTAATAAGAAATCAGTACATAGATAATTAAAAAAATCATTCAGGTTTAAATATTTTTGTTTCCTCAATTTGCTTGAATAACTATAGTTTCACAGATATCTAGTTAAAATAATATTTATCTTCGATTGAATGAACCATATTCACAATTTTATTAATTTAATTAAGTATCAGCATCAATAGTATTCGATATAACATTAATTTTCTCTTTCAAAGTAGAATCAACATATTTGTAATCAAGTACATTCTTCAATGCTGTTTTTAATCCTGCAGTATTGTTTAGATGTTGTTTAATAATATCTGTAAGAAATATGCCATGATATATTTGGATAAAATGTAAAAGAGAAAAGTAGGCAATTTTATTAAACGATAAAAAATAATTATATATCATACCTGATTTAATAATACTGTCAATAAAAGAGAACATATTACAAATAATGGGCAATTCTAATTTAGAAGCACTTTCTTTAAAAAACGTACATATAACATTTCCAATGTTATTTTCAATAAGAGCATCTTTCAATTCTATTGGACAGATAGTAGCTAAATAAGTTAAACTTAAAATAGCTTCATTTTGCATTAAAGCATGTTCTGCTAATATCATTTTTATCAGATATTGAGTACCACTATATTTGATAATTATCAGAGCAACATCTTTATCTCTAGAAAGAAAAAGTAACGATGTATTTATAGGAGATATTATTATTAAGATATATAGAATATAATGAAATATAACTTACTTGCTATTATTAATTAGCCATGCAAGTAAACGATGAGCTTCACCTTGTACTCCTGGGTGATCATCTGTACCACACCATACCACGGTTCTTTTAATAAGATCTTCTTTTTTCCCTAAAGATATAGCAGCTTCCTCTACGTACAGAGTTTTAAAAAGTACAGCATAATGGCAATCAATGTATGCCACAAAACAACTTCACATGCTTTCAAATCAAAACATTTTTAACGTACTTTGTCCATCGATTACAATTCTCAGAGTTCCCAATAATTTGAATACTATTGGAAAAGTTGGTATATCCAACATAGGGTATAAAATGTCAATTAAACCATCCTTTAATATAATAGGTTTATTATCAATCGGAATGACAAGATTATGAAGAGCACTCAGTAAGGCATGCTGAAATCTAATATCACTATTTTTGCTATCATTTTTCTGAATTAATTGTAATAACTTCTTATGAATATCCTGTTCTACCATTAGCTTACAATGGGTGTATGTGCGTGCAAAATTTCCCATAGCTAATACAGCCGTTACTTGAAAATCTTCGTCATTGCTATCTAACCATTTGACAAAATTGTTGTAAACTGTACCTTTACCATTATCATATAATATGTTCATACTATTATCTAAAAAAATATTAGGAATATTTTTCATTATGAATTTTATCAATAAGAAATTACAATTGATATTTACCTCCTGTTAATATCAAAACAATTAAATTACATGCAACTTTAAGAACAGATCTTGTTTCTTCACTTGTACATTGTGGTCCATGAGTTTTTATAAGCTTTAAAAGTAATTCAGGAATGTTTGCTTCTGTAAGGAATAGTTTAATCTCATCTGCAATAAAAATGACAGAAAACAATTATAAAATTATGAAATACATTTTACTTATCAGATATGTATTTGTATTTTTTTTATATATATAATAAATTACTTTACCGTCATCAGCTTGATCATAGAGAAGTTCTAAACACATTTCAGATATTTCCAGAGATGTACTATTACTTAATATGTTTACTATAATTTTAATTAATTTTTTATCCAAAAATGTTACATTAGCATCATTTAATACGCCCAATGTCAATAAAACATGTGTGATTGTTTCCTCTGCAGTAGCACCGTCGATTTCTAGTATGTTACAAAGAACTTGAACGATGTTCTCTTCTAATGCCTACAAAAAACATTTATAAATGAATTTTCGATTAAGAATATCATACACAAAATTGAGCTCTACTATAATATTTATAATATTTTCAAACCTGTTGTTGCAAGGATTCTTGATCTACAAGAAAATTCCATAGTAATCCACTTGCCACTTTTCTTAACGTATCGGCACTTTCGGTATCTTTTAAATCGGTTGCTTTTTTCAACATTTGTAAAATATATTTTAAGCCATCTTTTTCCTTAATCATAACTTTTCCATTTTCTGAAATGATTATGACATGATCATATTACTTTTTTATACAATTTTATAAAGAAAATCCAAAGATTATTATGCATAAACAAATAATAAATTTGTTTTCATTACTATTTTCATAACATATATTCCCAAGAGCTCTAGAAGTTTGTATCAATATATTGATGTTGTCTTCTTTCAATAATTCCATTAACGTTTCTACTATATCTGTATTTGTATATTTTTCTCTTCCCTTATTAGTTTTGGTCATTTCTGCAATAGCTTTTGCTGTTTGTGCAACAATTTCTTTAGATTTGTCCCTCAACAACATTAAAATAGTATCATTAGGAAGGAGGTCTATTACTTCTGAAAACAGTATTTAATACTTACATATTTTTTTCATAAATAAAGATTATATATTATTCGATTAAATATAAGACCTTGGATTGAATTTTCCTTAATCAAAGAATCCAATATTTGCATGACATCAGTATTTTTGCTTTTTTCGGTTTCATTTCTAATTTTGATAAAATTTCTCAGATCAGCAACAATTGTAACAATGTTATATTGACTGTCTCCTACAATGAAATATTTTCTAGATTTATTATACAAAGTGTGACTTAAGTAATTCATAATTCAGTTTCTTAGGTATATATGTCATTTATATAATATTTAAAAAAAAGTAAATTATTTAAAATCAAATTACCTTCCATTTACGCTTCAAGATTCACTTTTTGTCAAATATTCAATATATATTGGAATGTAAGTGTATATGGAAGCTACTTAGGCTTTTCTCATGCAAATTCTATTACTGATACGCAATGGCGGTACATTTAAATTCTAATGAATGTCGATAATTTACCAGCTATTAAATAAATCCTACTAATAGACAGCTTATTTAATTTACGTTATAATAAAGTATTTCTTAAAGATAAATAATAGTTTATGTTACAGAATATTATTTACATTTTAAAATATTTATTACAAAATTTTTTAAAATATAGATTTTTGTAGATGGCGCTTATTTTATTAGAAATCTCTCTCTCTCTCTCACACACCCATCACCACACACGCGCGCGCACGACGTAACACATGACACATGCATTATGGTAACCATATTGAAATAGTGTGTACTTGGATATGACAGTACTTTTTCATAATTGTTAATCCATACATGTTTAAGTGAATTTTATCCTTAGAACATTTTTTTTTTTTCGGAGTCAAGTATAATTTGTAACTATTTTTAATTATGGCTTACTTATATCAACCTGATTATGTTCGTTATATGTGTAATTGTGGTTCTTTAAAGCCTATTTCAAAAATATATTTTTGTCGGCATTGTTTAAAGATTCGATGTGGTTACTGTGTCTGTCAAGAGGTATGTCATTTCTTTATTTTAATTTAATTTCAATGCTATTCAAAGAAATTATATACTGATATTATCTTATGTGATCGTGTGTGTCATTTTAAAATTAATGAAAATTATTCTAAAATAGGTTGATTTATATTACTGTCCAAATTGTATGGAAAATTTACCCTCGTCAGAAGTTCGCCTCAAGAAAAACAAGTAAGATCTTGATTTAAATAATTGATGTGTATATAATAATCTAATTATTAATCCATTTATTTTATTAATAGATGCTCAAACTGCTTTAATTGTCCTAATTGTTTTCAAATGTTGTCTACGAGAGCGGGACATGTCCCATTAAAACCGACAACGAAGGAAGGCGAAGATTCAAAAGATGTTAAAGTTGTACCTAAAAAGGTTTATTATTTATCTTGTTCTTTTTGTCGATGGAGTTCTAGAGATGTTGGTATTTCAGATCAGACTATGGGTATATAAAATTATTTATTATTTTAATTCTCTATAGTTTATATATTATTAAAATTATAACAAACGTTAATTTTATTATTCTCATTTCATATAGCTTCTGCAAGATGGCCAGAACAAGAAAATCCTCATACTAGAAGAATTAATGCCTTAATAGATTATCATAAGATATTGACATCTATAGAAAAACGACAACGAGAAAGGAAAAAGTTCCAACCTAAACGTTCATTCACACAATTTGTAAGATATTTCTCTTGCATTAACTAATATTCAAAATATAAAATTTATGTATTTAAAATATATGTATAGACAAATGGATCTATAATTGTTTGCAATAATATTTTATTAATATTCTATAGGAATCATTTGGACTAACATCTGCTATGATACATAAATGTATTGTTCAGTCAAGAAAACCTCAGATTCAATTGCAATTGTCCGATCAACCAACTCCTTCTATCGCTTCAGAAGATGTGGAAGAATTACCATTAGAAATATTTACTGAGCCGATAGATATTATGAAAAGTAATATATAACTTCGTTTTGAATATTTATTATTTTACTTCGGTGCTTTTTAAGATAGATATTTATTGAATTTTATTGTTGTTATGATAGTTAGTACTCTAGAGCAACGTTTGCAACACCCTGACATACAAGCAGAGTATGTAAATGAACTAAGACCGCAACGTAGACAATTTTTAGTTAAGAGATCACAACGTTGTAGAGTTTGTGAGCATAATCTTAGTAAACCTGATATATGTCCACAGTCTACAAAATTTAAAATTCAATTAGCTGCATTGTAAGTATAATATTCAATATTAAGTTAATAACTTCATGAAAATTTATTAATTAATGAATTAAACAATGTTTCTAGTTATCATATACCAGAAGTAAAGATTGTTACTTGTGAACCATTATATCCTGGTAAACCTAGTGAATTATTTTTGAAGTTTTGCAATCCAACACGACATCCAACACAAATAACTTTATTTCCATTGGATGTATCAATGGCACCTATTCCTATTGTTGATGTTACAGAAAAAGGAGAAGTTAAAAAAGATGATGTGCAAGTGGTAATAGTTCAGATTAGTTTAAAAAAATATTTAGTAAAAAATATATATTTATAATATAATTATGTCATTTATAACATTATTCAGATAAATGAATCTCTAAACTCAATGCCTTCTGCTGTACGCCAAGGACCTATTATAGAGGAAGTTAAAGCAATTAAAGTTGTCCCAAATGCAGATCTAGTATTGCCTCATAGTTCTTTAATTTTGCCAGCTAGAGATGATGCTGCGGAATATGATGACACAGCTGATACTCACAATTTTCAAGATGATCCAAAGTAAGCATTTATTTTTTATTTATTTAAATATTATTAATCTATAGAGATTGTATATTAAAATTTAAATATTAAATATAAATTTACTTTAATATTTGTTAAATAAACATCTATTTTTATTCAAAGGCTTGTAGTTTGGAGAAAAGGAAACAAAGCAATAGTGAGACTTAATGTTACACCATTTGAAAATGATGAAATAAAAGAAGAATCAGTTATAGTAGGTTTTGTCATGCAACATGGATATGTAAATACAATTACTGCTTTAGAACATAAAGCACCACAAAAATTGGATTTAAAAGTTAAATTATATTTAACTCTTGGGAAACTCTGTGGTACTACATAGAAATTATTTATACTGTATTTTATAAATATATATATTTAAAGATATACTAATTTATTTGCTAACAAATGCTTATAATTGATTCTTTATATATAAGTTATTAATTTTATATGTATTAAAATAGTAACTCTTACGTTTAAATAATAAATAATAAAATGATTTGATTTTTTATTGTATTTACATTTTATTATGGGAGCTAATTATGTTGTAATCTTAGAGAGATTAAGTAGTCTTGACAACGCAATATGTATTTTTTTATATTTTTATTATTGAAAAGGAGTTAACCATGTATGCATATAAGATCATTTACAATCTGCGACCACGACGACCTCCCTTTCTACGAGTCGAATCTGATGGAATAGGAGTTACGTCTTCAATGCGACCAATTTTCATACTAGAACGCGCAAGAGCACGCAATGCAGACTGTGCACCAGGTCCAGGTGTTTTTGTTTTATTTCCACCTGTTGCTCTCAACTTAATATGTAGTGCTGTGATACCAAGAGATTTGCACTTTTCTGCAACGTCCTAAGAAAAAGATATTTTTACTTAGTATTCAGATAATGTTATCAAGTAATAACAAAAAACATTACAAATATGTTTTTGTATCATTCTAGCAATAAAAATATGCATTTACTACACATATTTTTGAATACGAGAATGAAATTTGATATTCCACAACATGAACGCTCATTGGACTGTATATATTTATGACCAAAGTGCTGCCTAGGTGTGGTATTAAAAAATATACTTAAATTCAATGTATTTACCTGTGCTGCAAGCATAGCAGCATATGGTGAAGCCTCATCACGGTCAGCTTTTACTTTCATACCACCAGTAACTCTAGCTATAGTTTCCCTAAAATAAATATATGCAATGAAGCAAACATAATATGTGAATAACTCTATATATATAAATATAAAATATATATAAAAGATTTTTTACCTTCCGGATAAATCAGTCACATGGACAAACGTGTCATTAAAACTTGCAAAAATATGAGCAACGCCGAAAACTACTTCTCCCTCACGAACTTGTGGACCAAGGGAGACCTGCACTTCTTCTTTTTGAACCTTTCCTCGTTTAGGTGGCATGTTTGTAAAACTGAACAATATAACAAGTGTTATGTTTATATGTATACTTAGATGATTTCTGAAAATTTACTGTTGTAAGTTATATTCTGATGCTTTCAAAGAGAATGAAAGTAATAGCAATGCTGCACGAATTAAATCCGTCTACATCCATGTTTCACATAATGTAAAAAGAAAATCTATTTAATTACAATTTAATCAAAAAATTTTCTTGTTTATGATCAATGCACAATTTTTGTATAGAATACTTATTGTCTACACAATTATCAAAAAATTGTACCTTATACGATTTCTAGCACACGTTCATCGAAATCGGATATACGAGAAGACATATGCTTCATTTTAAATCTAATATGTGACGCTAGAGAGCGTTTAAAGATATGTTGTATGCAGTCATAGACGTATGCCTGCAGTTTTCAATCGGTCGACCACCACGGTGCACTTGGTGCTGATTGGTGCATTTGGCGGCGGTTGGTACACTTGGTAGCATGTCCACGGCTATTAGTGGTCGTCGGATATAAACGGAATATTTTCATTGGTTACATCATTATTTGTACATACATTGGTACGACTGTAATATTTTATGTTAAATTTTGGATTGGTACTACTGTTATGCAGCTGGTAGCAAACAGACGCCATTACGTTTTCTGATTTCTTGCAGAAAAATTTGTGTATACATTGAAAAACTTAATTTACAAAATAAAAATAAAGTCAAAAGTTTAGTGATTATCTTACAAGATTATACTTACTCAATATTGAGGTTAGTATTATAATGATATTTAAATATTTTGTAATGTTATACAGTCACATTTAATTATTATATTTACGCATACAATATTATCGATATTAACCTTACTATTTTACCAAATTACAGCTGATTTTTATTTTGATTTTTTTTTTTTTTTTTTTTTTTTTTTTTTAAAAAAATCCTGACGAACAGTAGTTTTAATTGTACGAGCGATACAAGTCGTGATGGTAGATCACACAGAAGTTCTAAAAGGAAACGAGAGTATAGTCTCGTTCAGGATAGACGAAATAGTAGGAAAGAAACGTCGAGCA